AACATTTAACCCAACCGCTGGGTCAAAACAACCCAATTGTTGGGTTTGTCCCTATTATACCCAGCACTGGGTTGTATTTAACCCAGCATTTTTTAGAGTGTAGGCTAATAGGATCACCTGATTTGGTGTGACAGCAGCAGCGAATTATAAACCCCCAAAGCTGCATACTAATTAATATTATTTTATTGTAAGTCCAAAAAAAGCTATTTATGATTCAAGAAAATTCTCTTGTCCAGATCCTCTCCTCACCATTTGAATACACAGTCTTGAATTCCCACAGGTGAGTCAAACATTATTTTTGGTGAGCCCATAACCATAAACTAACAATCTCAGACCAGGTCTAAGCCAAATGAAAGGCTTGAAAAAACAGCAGAGCCCCTCCTCCGGCACTGGCAGGAGTTGAAGACTGAAGGCTGGTTTTCTCCAGACTGCCCTGTGGTTCCTGCTATGTGCTGCGGTTCGCCGCCTTTACATTCCTCAGCTGGCTCAAAACGCAGCACCTGTGTGGCCAGTACTAGCCACGACTAAAAGGGCTCTTTATTTGCTGTTTTACACTAGCAAACCTGACCAAACAGTCCTAGAAGCCACAAAAGTGACGTGATTGATGACAATTTACTTCAAATTGTGACTTTTTTTTTTTTTGGTTTAGTAGTTTGTGGTCAGTAAGATTTTTGTAATGTTTTTTGAATGAATTCTCTTTTGGTCACTAAAACTGCATTAATTTTTTTGGTAACATTATAAATGTATTTACTGTCACTTTGGATCAGTTGAATGCATCCTTGCTGAATAAAATAAGTGATTTCTTTCCAAATCTGACATTTGAATGCTAGCGTTTATATATATATACATTTTTATTTTGTATTATTATTCATATAAAAACCCCATTTGTACTCAGTCTCTCTAAATCAAATGTTCTGGATTGTCCATTGTAGTTGACAGTTGCTCAAGGGGTTGCGCTTGAATTGACATAAGGAGTTTTCACATAAGCACAATTTATAGCCTCACCGTTTATCTCATCTTGAGTTTTCACAGCCCTCTTTCCTCGCCGTTTGAAGAAGCTGGAGGCATCTGCCTCTGGCATGAAGATCTTCCTTAGTGCACCTTTGGTGAAGAAGAACATTGATGAGGGGTAGAAACTCTTGACAAAGATCTACAGCAACATTGTGAAGGTCTTTGGTCACCTTGAGGACTGGCTGCCTTCTTATCTGACACAGCGGCGCTGTCGGCTCCATGGAACACTGTAACAGAGGAAACACAGCTGAGGTAAGTCCAAAAGATTTGCTACCCTTTCCAGGGACTATATGGTTCCCCACATTGGTAAATCAACACTTCCCTTGGTCAGCACAATAAACCACGGTCTGGTTACTCACAGGTGATGACGGACAAAACAACGAGACAGGTGAGAAGAAGAGGTCGCATCCAGGACATTTTTAGATTTAGCCGTGCAAGAGCAAAGAAAAAGCTACTGATGTTCTCAGGGACGTCCTGCCTGAGATTGGGGATTGGGCTTGTGGTGGTGAGAGCAGTGAATGGAATTTGACCAGGAGGGTGAAGGAGGGGTGGAGTCTTGGGAACGTGTTGTTTTTGAGGTGGGGGTGGCACCAGAAAGGAAAGGTGGCAGGGATCGAGCTCTGCAGGATCTCACTTGAAACGAAGATATGACATGGGAAGGGTGCAGTGTTTTTTTGGGCCTAATGACGTTTTTTGGCAAGACATCACTGCATTGGAAATGTATTAATAACACTTTTTTTTTTTTTTAAGGAATATGGGTAACAATAAGGTTCCATATTTGTTCGTTAACTACATTATTTAACATAAACTAGCTATGAAAATTGCTTGTAACGACTTTATTAATCTCAGTTCATATTAATTGCAACATTTACTAATACATTATTAAAATTCACTGTTTTATTTGTTAATATTAATGAATGGACTTAATCTAACATGAACTAACAATCAACAGTTGTGTTTTTGTTAATTAACGTTAACCAGGATTAATAAATACTGTTAATGTGTTAATTAATGTTAACTAATGAACCTTATTGTAAAGGTATTTTGTGGCATAATGTTGACTAGAATATTTATTTATTTTTAAGAATACATTGTTTTCTTTACAAAAAAAAAGAGGTTATGGTGGGGAACTTGCAATGGAAGTGATTGGGGCCAATTTTTGGAAGTATTAAAATCAGAAATGTGAAGCTTATAATTTTTATAAAAGCACTTACATTAATTCTGTTGTTGAAACTTGTGTATTGTTTGAGCTATAAACGTGTCATAATTTTTACAGTTGTTTAGGTGTTATGTTGTTATGGCAATGCAAATTGTAAAATTGGATATAACTTAATTTTTGAACTTTTAATTCTCATCATTGTGTCAAAGTGGTTTAGGGTTTTAGGTTAGTAAGTGATTTTCACATTAAAATCATGTTAACATATTTTCATGATGTGGCATTATCTTAATTAGCAAAAAAAAATGTGTTTTCTTTACAAAAAAATGAGATTGCAGTGAGGCTGGCACTTACAATGGAAATTCTTTGGAAGGTTTACATGCAGAAATAGGAAATTTATCATTTTAAAAATGCATTTACATTAATTTTTCTGTTAAAACGTGTATTATTCAAGCTATAAAGTTGTCATTTTACAGTCAGTTTATGGATATAGCCATTATGTAGAAACATAATTGTAAAATTGGCTATAAGTTTACACATACAATATCAGTAAGTGATTTTTCACAAAAACAAATCATGTTAACACACATATTGTTTACATCTTGTGGCTGTACTTTTGAAACTGAATATTATTTATAATTTACAAAACAACATTTATTTACAACCTTTACAACCTTATGGTGAGGTACTTGGAATGGAAATGAATAAGGCCAATATCTGTAGGGTGTAAATGCAGAAATGTGAAGCTTGTAATTTTATAAAAGCATTTACATTAATTCTTCTGTTAAAACTTGTATTCTTTAAGCTGTAAAGTTGTTCTCATCTTTTTTTTTTTTTTTTTGATTGTAGGCATTATGTTGTCATGGCAGCTAAGTTGTAAAACTGGATCTTTACAAAGTGGTTTTCACATTAAAAACATGTTAAAGCACATATTATTGAGATCTTGTAGCTATACTATAGTATTCACTTCTATGAAGTGCCAAGTGCCTCACTGTAAGCCAGATCAGATTTTAGTTTTTTTAAGAAAAGGAGGGTCGAGTCTAAATTCATTTTTGTGATAATTAACATCATGCCACAAATGCATTGTCATCTGTTGTCTTAATTTGCTTTCTGATACCAAAGTCTTAATTGTACCCAACTACCTTATTTTACACTTTACGTTTCCCTTTATGTCCAACCCCAATAATATTCTAACCCTAAATAATATTCCCCCTTATGAAAATACGAACATTTCAGCAAATGATTTCAAGACATGTTTCTGGCCCCAGAGCTTTAAAATATGTAGAGTGCTTTGCACCTGAGGGGTGTGATCCAACACAAGGGGCTCCTCTCATGCCTCATGCCCCAGGCTGGAGCAAACGTCTGCGGTTCTGTGTTTACTTAGGGTTTTTTTTTTTTAGTTGGAGTCTAGCCAACAGCAGGACATAGTGAATGATGAAATTGTGAGGGCCTGTTTTAGAGAGTCTGGGGCCTGGAGAAACTGAGATGTGAGAATATGTAAAGGAAAGACTTCGAAAAAGACATACAGTGTGTGTGTGTGTGTATGTGTTTGAATGGATGACAGAGAGAAGAGTTTTGAAGATGCTGCCAGAATATGTCGCACTTGCCTGCTTAAAATATTCCTCACTGTCACCGGACAGTCGTAAACATGCCAAAATTGCCGCCTTTTCCTGTCCCTCAGAGTCAAGGCTGTGTCACTGGATAATCTTTGAAGTTGCTGATGCATTGTAGACTTTGTGGAAGCTCAATATAGACATTAAATAGTTATTGAATCTTTGTTGTCAGGGTATTTTGGTCACTGAATTCATTAAAAATGCAAATAATATTAGTTTAGGACTGATAGTGCCAACAGCCACGCTCATTCACTGTCTGTCCTGGAGGGAGCGCCAACTGTCTAGAATGACCTGTTTCTTTATTGAAAGCTGTCTCAAAAAGGATTGAAACAACATAAATTAATGAATTTATTTGGGGAAAAAGTACAAAAATTTTAAATTTTAACGTGAATTAGCATTGTGTTTTTCCTCATTGTGGGACATTTAACTTGCACATTTAAGCAGCTGTAACACCCCACAGTTGGCCCAAAACTGTCATGTCTAGCCTTTAGCCCAAATATTGACATGGTTTTATACAGTTCAGCATTGCAGAAGATTAATTTATTTTAACATAAAAGTAAATATACCTGCTATGCAGAAAATTTGACGCAAACATTTTCACATGCATCTCACAAGCAGCCCATTTTTAAGGGAGTTATCTATCTATCTATCTATCTATCTATCTATCTATCGTTCTATCTATCTATCTGTCTGTCTGTCTGTCTGTCTATCTATCTATCTATCTATCTATCTATCTATCTATCTATCTATCTATCTATCTATCTATCTATCTATCTATCTATCTATCTATCTATCTATCTATCTATCTATCTATCTATCTATCTATCTATCTATCTATCTATCTATCTATCTATCTATCTATCTATCTATCTATCTATCTATCTATCTATCTATCTATCTATCTATCTATCTATCTATCTATCTATCTATCTATCTATCTATCTATCTATCTATCTATCTATCTATCTATCTATCTATCTATCTATCTATCTATCTATCTATCTATCTATCTATCTATCTATCTATCTATCTATCTATCTATCTATCTATCTATCTATCTATCTATCTATCTATCTATCTATCTATCTATCTATCTATCTATCTATCTATCTATCTATCTATCTATCTATCTATCTATCTATCTATCTATCTATCTATCTATCTATCTATCTATCTATCTGTCTATCTGTCTGTCTGTCTGTCTATCTATCTATCTATCTATCTATCTGTCTGTCTGTCTATGTAGCGTTCTATCAGTCTGTCTATCTATCTATCTATAGTTCTATCTATCTATCTATCTGTCTATCTGTCTATCTGTCTGTCTATCTATCTATCTATCTATCTATCTATCTATCTATCTATCTATCTA